TATATATATATATATATATATATATCACAGAATAGGACAGCAATATCTTGTATAATGTGGGAAAGTTAGGTTTCGATGTTTGCAACCATTCATCGCTTTAGAAGCGGCGAGTGGAAGGCATTTGAACATACAAGTAGGCTATTAGTCTCATTTAAGTAGTATGATTCGTTTGAAGAAAATAAACTTATCAAAAAATGCCCTCTCACTCATTCAATGCAGGCTTTAAAGATGCTAATTTCTGCCAGGGTGTGGCCCCTATCTGAAGTGGATAGCTAAATGGCCTGTTCTCTCTCTCTTTGCATCTTTGTATCTGCCTCTCTCTCTCTCTCTCTCTCGAATTGCGCATGTTTATGTGGCCGTGGAGCGAGCCTGAACGCGGTTGTGGGAAGTCCTGTTGGACGAGCCTCTGGATTTGGTCTTCGGTCTCGGAAGAGTCTTCGACGTGACTCGAGGCGTATTCCGAATCGTCGTGTCAAGCCAAGTTCCAGATGACGCAATCGGCTTTAATTGCTGCCCTAGACTGTGTCTGATCCGCGCCCACCAGACCTGTCCCTCTTCGTTGCCAGCCTGACCGGGCCTAAGCCAAAACCGAGGTCGGATCGGGGAGCAAGCATGTTTATTGTCCACTGCACAACTGCTCTCTCTCTCCCCCCTCTATCTCTCTCTTTCTCTCTCTCTGTCGTCCGTTTGAGTGAGAGGTTTGTTTATGCCATGGCCTGAGTCCGATCTGAATCGAGATAATGGCTGTACCGTTATCTGCTTCCATTCCTCGCGGACAACCGGTCCGGTTGGGGGTCATCCAACTCGGCCGACTTGGCTCAGATTGGCCGGTTTCGGAGCAGACTGCTTCCTCGCCCCATTCCGGACAGGTTGCCTCGATTCACTCGTGCCCCCTCGAGCCGTGTCCCTACGGCCGGTCGGCCATTTTCGCCAGTCCTCCTAACGCTACTACTATCACTACTCATAGCACTACTCATACTATTTATTACTATTAATTATACCACTACCGTCATCACAATTTCTACTACCATTACAACAACAATAGCAACAACCACTACTACTTATACCACTACCGTCATCACTACTACTAATATTACAACAGCAACAGCAACAACCACTACTACTACTTATACCACCACCATCACTACTATTACTACTACTACTATTATTATTAATTAAGCCACTACCGTCATCACTACTACTAATATTACAACAACAGCAACAGCAACAATCACGACTACTACTTATACCATCACCGTCACTACTATTACTATTACTACTATTACTATTAATTAAACCACTACCGTCATCACTACTACTACTATTATAACGATAACAACAGTAGCAGCAACAACTGCTACTACAAATACTACTACCTCTTAAACCACCACCGTCACTACTACTAATATTACAACAACAACAACAACAGCAACAAACACAAATACTACTTATACCACCACCGTCACTACTATTACTATTAATTAAACCACTACCGTCATCACTACTAAAACTATTATAACAAAAAGAGCAGCAGCAGCAACAACTACTGCTACAAATACTACTACCTGTTATACCCCCACCGTCACTACTACTACTACTAATTATACCACTACCGTCATTACCACTACTATTGCAACAACAACAGCAACAACCACTACTACTACTTATACTACCACTGTCACTACTACTACTATTATTATTATTAATTATACCACTACCTTCATCACTACTACTATTGCAAAAACAACAGCAACAACCACAACTACTACTTATACTACCACTGTCACTACTACTACTATTATTATTAGTAATTATACCACTACCGTCATCACTACTACTACTCTTATAACAACAACAGCATCAGCAGCAATAACTACTACTAAACCGAATACTACTAGCTCTTATACCGCTGCCGCCAATACTACCACTTCTATTACTACTACTACTACTACAGCAGCAGCAACAACTACTACTTTTACTGCGACCACTTATCCTCTATCTTCTAAACTGGCCTTTTGGGCGGCACGGGCAAGTGAATTCTTAATGGCTTGTGAGGTCCATTCCTCTCACTGTGGGTTAACTCACCAACTCATAGTCCTTAAATCACCTTCAGCCACTTGGCCCAGCGAAGCTCTTATTAAAGCATAGCAACACTTTTATCATTAATGTTGGTATAGCAATATTAGTAAGATTTCAAAAAAACGGCAACAAAAACGAAAACGACCACCATCACGGCTATTTCGTCAATGACAGAACACTGACTACTATTACACAAGCGCTTATTGCTACTATTACTAAAAATCCATTCTCGTTATTACAACTGCTGCTAATAATACTACTATTTATATTACTTCTACGCTTACTATTAGTAGTGGTAAAATTAGTACTTTTATTATTATAACAATTCTTAGGAGTCATATTACTAACACCACTGCCGCTACAAATACTATTTTTATATTACCTCTACTCTTTATGCTTACGAAAAGTTATGTTACTTTGAATCTTAGTGCCACAACTAGCACTATTACTATTCTATGTACTACCTCTATCATTATTATTATTATTATTACGATGACTATTTGTATGAATACTACCACTATTACTAGTACTTATTTAATTACTGAGAATAAGTTATTTGAAAAAAGTTATCAGTAACGATGTCTCAAGTCAGATTTAATAATACGATTATTGTCAGTGTTTCACAGCCGCAT